GTTTCACTCAATTTACAATGCTTGAATCATTGTGTTCAAATTCTCGAAACTATAATGCACAAAATACTGTTTAAATTTGACTATAAATTAACACATGAATTGCACACTGTCAATCGCCATCAAGGATCAAGAAGCTAGATTTCCGGTTCCCAGTCTCCACATAAATTGGGAAATACTTAGATCCCATATATTCTTCAAAAGCAAAAGCACAAGAGGACAAAAGACCTAAAACATTGAATCAGTCTCCAGCTCAGGATGAGTGCATGTCTTGAGCATCATCATCCATCTTTCCCACTCATACCTATCAATTGAATCACAAATCCTTCGTAAGATCCTATCAAGTAAACTCAAATGCTGTGTAGGAAAAGCTAATCACTTATAGTGTTGTTGAGTGCTTTTACCTACCATTCCATAAACAGAAACCATTACTGTGCAAACTTAACTACTGAAATGTATTCCTAGGGTCTAGGCAACTAATAAGTAACAATACGAGAGAGAATTTTTTTGTAAAGTGCATATAGTGTGTCCTAGAACAAGCAAGACTCACAAAGAAACCACTAGCGATCTTGACAAGTACGGCAGAAGGTACCATGAGACAGCTCGCAAAAAGCCCTAACATTAACAGTGAGGTGGGATGTCAGGCAGGTAGCTGCTGTCATGCTGTAAATTGGCAAGAAGGACTGTAGGCATCCCAGTTCTCCCAAGCTCCTAGAGTATGAAAACAACAATAAACCGGTAAAAGAAAGAAGAAACACAGAATTACAGATAATAAGAAACGAATCACACAAGAATTCAGGGACATTTATAATTAATCACGTAGAGAATAGAGAAATTATGTTTTCTTCATAGGAATAAATTGAAAAAAAAAATCATATATGAAAAAGAAAGATTCCAATGGAGACTGTAGCTAAATAAAAGAAGATAATGTTCAATATTTCCGAGTCAGACGCCAATTTTTCTCTTATCCATAAATCGTATGCAACTACTCCCAGTAAATTACAAATTCTTCGGACATAATGCAGGAAAATATTAGATCTCTTCTCCTCCTATTCTCCAAGTATGCTTGATATGAATTGGGAGGCGTTTATAACTCCCCTTAGTGGTTTTTCTTAGTTTTTGGTGATTCTATTTTCTTTGTTCTCTCTTTTATTATTGTTCACTCCTTACTTTGTATCTTTTAACAATTCTTGTTTCTTTTCATCTTTCAATGAAAAATTTATATCTTATTTAAAAAAATGCAGGAAAATAGAATAGAAGCGGTCACTTGCTTAGCATCTACTTTTTTTCAAGTAACCGCAAGAAAGCAGGTCGTAAAAAATGAAACGATAGGCCCTACAAATCGATAAACAAGAACCATCCGTAAATCTATTAGATCTTTGCTATGACTCTCTCTCGATTCTTTTTCAGCTTATTGAACTTAAAAACGATATAATTTTCTACAAATCTGGAAGCATAATTCGCAGCCAGTGAAGTATCAATAAACTACGAAAACACTAACGAGGCACTATCATCGTTAGCATATTAAATTTCGCAGCAGAACACAGCGATGTTAGGGGCTGTGCGGAGGAACCTGGAAGCAGCAGAAAAATGGCGGCCCGGCAGGCGGCGAGGAGCGGTGACGGGCGGCGGCCGGAGTTGAGGAACCGATGGAGTTAACCGGGAAGAAGAAGAGCGAACAGTGGAGATGAGGGTCCGAGATAGCGATCCTGAGCGCCAAGCCATCGTCTTCTCAGATTGCTACGCGGTGGCTGTGAAGCTAGCGGTGGCGAGGCTTTGTGAGGGTTTTAGGTCCTCTGCAATTACTTCAGATCAGCTGCTGTGCGGTGTACGACAGCTTCCGTGTGCCCTTAATTTTGGTCCGTTGGATTGTGACCGTTGATGGCATGCTTTTTTATTATTTATTTAATATTTGAGATTTACTTAATAATATAATATGCTACAATTTAGAGTTTTATTAAAATTAGAATTAATTTAGGTAATTAATTTCACAAAAATTATTTATCTTTTATATTAACCAACCTCTTATTTGTTATTAAAAATCCATAGTTATATTTTGGAGTTAAAAACAAAATTTAAAAAATTTTCATTGAAATAAAAGTTATTATATTTGAAATTAAAAATTTTATGGTGATTTGTTAAAAATTTGAATGGACTCATAAAAATAATATTTCATTTTAAGCTAAATATTTTTATTTAATATTTACCTTAAATATATATATTTTTTTAAAGTTTTGATTGAAATAATATATTTTGAATTATGGTTGGTAAAAAAAAATTAATAAACCTGATACATTTCTTATAAAATTTGAACATAGAAGACACTAGAGATATCAAATTAAAATTAAAATATACACAAACAATTTAAATAAAAAATACAATCATATTTATTAAAAAACACAAAGGGCCCAAAGAGATATGAAATACGTTCTGTCGTGATATTTCAAAATGGATACTTTTGGTTTTGAGATTTGAGAAAATGTTTTAAATAGTCTATTAAGTCTTTTGAATATTAGTTGACTAATATTAAGATGTTAAGTTACTCGGTGTACTAAGTTGATTTAACAAAATCTATTAATTTAATAACATATTTCCAGTGATTCGACTTTCTTGTTTTACTTCTCCATTCTCCATTCTCCTTTCTATCTCCTCCTCCTTCCCCTCCTCAAATGAATTTCTTTGGTTCACCTCTTGCCAGCCACCATCATGTTGTCGCTGAAAACTCACAAGTTAACCGAAACCCTCAATTGTCAAAAACTTAAAGAACATGTTCTTTATTTAATATATATCTAAACTTACGACACCATCTAAACTCAAACTCTTTCCTCGTCAATTTTGGAATGAGAAGCGTTCTTCGTTCCAAATTTAGACAAAAAACGAATTATTCAACTTCATGAAAGTAATTGTAACCTACCAAACTTATGAATTGAGATGTTTAATTGGTACATAAATTTCGTCCTAATTTGAATGTATCAGGTATGTTTTGAGTTGCTCTTAAGATTAGAGATACTTTCAGAGCAAGTAAACGAGGATAACTAAAATCTAGAAAAATATAGTTAAAATTGTTGGTAAAAATGGTGGAAGAAAACATTTTTTTTATATGAAAACGTTACAAATCTTTTAAAATATCAAAACGGTTAAAATCCTATTATTAATTATTATTAGTGAAAATCATTTCATTTTTCATATATTAAATAAAAACCCTTATTTATACTTACTTTTTAGATGGTTGATAATTATTAATTTTTGTGTATTATGAATAATTACTTAATTAATTTAATATTTATTGTTAATATTATATGACATGCTTTGTAAATTTATAAATTAAAGAAAGAATATGATACTCAAATAAAATATTTTTCCAACACCGTATATTTTTAATTATTATAAATAAAAACTATATAAACATATAACTTCTCAACTAGTTAAGTCATATATCTTTATCTAAAATATTGGAGGTTCAAATTCACACGTCCACATGTTATTTAACTAAAAAAAAAGGATAATAATAAAGAAGATCAAGAACAAATTTATAATTTAATACAAGTATTACATTTTAACAACCTGAATCCAAAATAAGATATAGATGTTTGATCAGTAGAGTTATACTTAGTTATAGCGCACTGTACAAGCTACATTTTTTGAGATTTATATTAGAATAATTATTTGTGAGTTTTCATTTCTTTATAACAGACTTACACACATAAAATATATTTTGCATAAATGAATAATCAAGAGAAAACAAAACATAAATGGATCAAATTGAGAGGAAAAAATCATAGCCCAAGTGAGTAAAGAAGATGTTACAAAACTTATCGAAGCCTTATACCCAAGATAACAGCAGTGGGGCACTTGAAAAGGTGCCACAATGCCTGCAGTAGGAAAAAGGCAAAACTGGAAATTTGGCCCGAGAGGTCGGCATGGCACCCCTTTGACATTGTGGCGCTACGAACTTTTTTCATCCGTCTTTTTTCTCTGTCACGCCATGATGCTCACTAATGGAACTATACTGATTGTTTCTTTATAAAATTAGGTTTTTTAATCATTTGGAAAATCTTTTAAACACTTTTAGGGGGAGAGATGAGATAACTTACAAATATAGAAAAGATAGAGTTCTAAGGAGCTTAGAGAATGATTTTCAAGGCACGAAATCGTGGAGAATCGACACATGGACATTAATTTTTCTCATTTCTCTTTATTTTTCTTGTTTTGTTACAGGGAATTCTAACTTCCCCCTCTAAATTTTTCTATCTAATTTTCCTCTCTCTGAAATTTTTGTCTCACACCTTTTATTATTTATTTTCCTTTCAAAATGTATTGCGAAGGTTAGTAATCTAGTGATTCAAACCACTCTTGAAAACAAACATTAACCATTAAAAAAAAATACTTATCATCATATCAAAATCACCCTGGAACCAAAAATTAAAATGACTTATTATTGAACACATTTTATAATAATAATTGTAGTTAAATCACTGTAACTAAAAACATATATTCTGATGAAATCACTTCCACAACGTGACACGTGAGACTTAGAGTCGATTCAAAAAATCCCTTTACCCTCTTCTTTATTTATTTTATGTTTTAAAATTTCATCTCCAACTCAACTCCAATCCACTTAAACAATAAACCACACGACATCGATTCGAGGAAAATAAAATTTTTTAAAATAATTTCCACAAGATTTTTTTTTTTGGTCATCAAACACATCACCATCAATGGTGGAGAGAGTCTAGATATTGGAAGCATTCATGAACCAAGAGAGCTCAACAAAGTGGTAGAGGGGAAATTAGTGGACAAATTGCAGACAATATTCTCAACGTACCAATTTTGTAAACTGCAAATTCAAAGATTCAACCGTTACACTTTACAAGCTGCCAAAATAAGACATGAAAAAAAGTCAAATATGCTTTCAATGTCCAACCTCAGTCAGTTAGTAGCTCACTTATTGTTTAACTAGAGAGTTCAATCACACAGGCTTTTGGTGTAGCAGTCCTGTTCCAACTTTGTGCACACTTCTGTTTCGTAGTGACATTCACTGTCTTTTTAACACAGTACCTATTGGCAGATATTTTCAAATAGCTGTGGCTAAATTTGTTTGTGTTTGTTTTTGTATGTATTTGGTGGGGGTGGCCTGTGTTTTTCATCTGTCGGGTTAACTGTGCAGTGTGGTCCGGTTCGGTTCCGTTAGTTCCTCCCTTTCGATTTCAGGTTCTCACATTTCCTATGTCTTCTTTCAAGATGAAACCGAACTGATAAAACCGAATCCATCAATTTCGTAGAAAATCAGTTCTCTTCTGCTATGGACATTGGTTCAGTTCTATACAATTCAGAATCCAAAACATTGGTCTGGTTCTTGATTTAAGCAAAAACCGAGAAAACCAAACTGATGCTCACCCCTAGTATCCTCTCATAAACATTGGATAGATATTAAATTTAAGAAGAAAATGAATGGACAACCATATATCTCTTTTAAACAGAAGCTCAAACATCAAACATGCCCCAAAAACCTATAGCTTAAATTTCGATATAATCTCTCACTTCACTCAGCAGTATAATTTACAATGATCTATTTATTTACAAAGTATATATAACTAATGCATCGTCACCCTCGTCATCCCTAATGGAAAGTGCATCCAAGGGAGGCATTGAAAAAGATTCATTTGCCATCCTTATTCTATGCTGAATATCATCAAGCTGAGATTGCAGCGTTACTAGTTGCAATGTTAGCTCTTCTTTGTCCCTTTCCCACTCAGCTTTCTCATTATCATGTTCCTCTTCGATTTCGTCTAATCTATCTTGTAGATGAAGGCACACATTACGGATTAAGTTTAGTTCCTCAACGTGTCTATCATCAGATGGTTCGGGTTCATCAGCCCAATGAAAAAAACCACATTGCTGCAGGTAGTGTGCAGGACATAAACTCTAAGTACAGTATAGCAACGAGAAATAGTTCTTAAATTGGATGAGCAAATGGAGCATGGGTATAATATACATACTTACTTGAGATATTTCCTTTGGACAGTTGTAGAATAATCTGAATGGATTTTTGGGTGTCTGAGATGTTCTCAGTTTTGCAGGCAGTCCACAGTAACATTCTAGTTCAGATTCTTCAAAAATTTCCGAAGTAGACATTATTTTCAAGTATGGATCCTGAAACCAACCAGTAATTCCATGAGTTTGTGAAGAAATTAAAAGTTCCTACAAATCAGGTTTAAATAAATTACGAAGTTCACCACATCCTAAACCATATAAATAATGGAATGGTTGCTAGTGGCAAAAGGAATTTCTAAGAAACCGACCCAAACTGCAGTGGAGTGGAATTCAGATTCCCTGTGAATCTGTGATCTGTGTTCTTCGTCTATTTATTCCTTGGTAATTTAGAAATTCTTCAATGACATTATAACACGTTTCATACAGAGCTTGAGACATAACCTAGGACTTATGGAAAGCATTGTCTAGTATTAGACATCAATCGAGGAGTCTGGGAGCTTGATTTCACTTGTTCGATAAAATCAATAATCTTGACTATCAAACAAAGTTGCAGACTACGGTACCAGCTAGTTCTACACAAGGTTACTGAACAAAGACTATCCAGTATCCATAACCAGTACCAAGAGGAGTGCAGAAAAGATAGATGATTTGTTGTATTCTTAAAAATTTAGGTTTAAAAACTATTTGCCCTGTGTTTTAAATTTTTGGTCATTTTAGTCTCCTACTTTTGTCGAAGGGTTCTAGTTCAAAATGGCTTTTTAATTTCTGTATTTTCAACTTTTGTCTATTTTAGTCTGCATCTAATTCAATTCCTATATTTATAAAAAGTGACAATTCTTCCACTTTAATTTTTATTTCTATCACAATTTCATCATGACACTACACACAATAAATTTCTCCAAATATAGTCATAGATTTGTATCAAAAGGCTTTTATTGTGTATAGAATTTGTATTAAAATTTTGTCAAAGGGACCAAAATGGTTCACTTTTAAAAATACAAAAACCAACACAAACATTTTGAAGGCATGGAAACCAAAATAAACAAAAGTTGAAAGTACATGGACGAAATGAACCAAAGCTTAAAGTACAACTACCAAACAGCATTTAAACCTAAAATTTAACTTAAAAAACTCCAGACAAACACAAAGAAGAAGATTGCATAATAAAGTAAATAAAAGAGAAACCAAGATTGGATGGATGCATAGATGTTTGTTAACTTAAGTAAATAGTACCTTTTGTGTCAACACAAGCTATTACCCCTTTTTTTTTCCTGGTAAGTGAGATGTTAGAGTTTTCATCCACCCCAAGGCCAGCACCAGGAAACAACAAAGATCTTTAAGTTATTAAATTTTCAACCTAGAGGGCTGAACCTAAGATCTTGGGGAGTATCTCTAAACATCCCAAGCCCTCCCCCCCAGATTCCCAAGCTCCTACATGAATCACCATTTTCTTAGAATTTTATTGAAGTATGGTTCATTCAACCTAATCTGATTCAAAGTTAACTCAACTAGCTTAATGATACAACTAATCTGATTCAGCCAACTCAGTCAGAGTCGGGCCATACCAGATACAAACAAATATGGTATATATCTTATACTAGGTATGTATCTATCTCATATTCACCTATGGTTGGATGGATATCCTCTGCCCATATTTTTTGAAAAAGAAATCATATAATTCTTAGAAGGATAACAAATTTTCAATAGTATAGAGATTGTTGCATTTGTGCAGCATCTTCACAGCCTATGATAGAGGACCAGTAAATGTCATAAATCCAAAGATATAAAGATGCTTTAAAAAAATGTATATGCCACAAGTTTGAGGTGTTGCAAGCAAAGACATCTATATGCAAAACCAAATCTTCTGACATTTTTTTTACTCAACAGAATCTATAAGTCTCTCCCAATTTGTCACATGCAACCTCTACGAAGTAAGATTCTAAGATCAATGCCATCAGCGAGTCTTTCATCACATGAATCATAATGGATTAGCGTGAAATAAAGCAAAGTTAAAATAGAAAGAACCAAATAACTCAATAAATCAAGAACAAATCGACGAAGATTCAACACTTTATTCATAAAATCCATGTTAATATATTGAACAATGGAACTACAAAAACAAAAGCAATCGAGATCATGAAATAATACTAAAATCTAAAAACAAGATTTACATTTTTTGACCTACAGAAAGTAAAGAACAGAATTCAACCCGAAACGTTTTAAAAATCCTCATATTTTCCTCAAAATCTTCTTATTCTTTTTCAGCCAAATGGCTCAATATAAAATTGAAAAACACCAAAACAAATATTGAATTGATAAAGGCATTCCCACATGTATTAAAGCAAATCATAAAGAGGAAAGGACGACTAAACCAACTCATGCGTGCTACAGAAAAACAAGTATAAAATATTTGATCGAAACGAAAACCAAATAACAAGCAGCGTTAAATTCTCTACTTTTCAGACTAACTTCCCAATTCCCGTGCAAAAATTCTGGCTATTTCTTTCAATTCATCGAAGAACATGAATCCTCCTCGTATATAAGCAGACAAATAGTCATTTTACAGTAATTTCAAACTCCCCAGCTAGAAATAGTAATTTTCCAACCCGCAGAAGTGTCGATTGATCGGTTTATTTCCAGCAATTTAAATTCTACATTGACAATATAAATATAAACAAAAGAGAGCAACAGCAGCGAATGAAATAAAGAAATTGTGGAATAATAATCGATGTCAAATTCTTATAATTTATCGAAATCAAAAGGGAAAAATAGTTGCGCATAGGAAAACCCAAAAACAGTGGAATACCTGAGAATATTGTAAGTAATTTGGAGCAACCGATTGAAAGAGGAAAGAAAGATCACCGTCGCATTGAATATTGATACAGCGAACGACGAGTGTCCATAAACGAAGAGAATGCTCTGAATTTCTTTTGGAGTGAATTTCTCTTTTTCTTTTTGACAATGACCACAATCTTATCTCTCAAGTTACTTTAATAATTTTCTCTCGCTAAAAGTTTTAATCGTTGATGTCTAAGTAAAATGTCCATATCTTACTTTCAACGAAGGTAGATATTGACGGATATTTCTATAAAGTTAAAAAAATTAAAAAAATTAAAAAAATCATAAAAAATATTTAAATTAACAAATAATTATTTTTTGCCAAATTGAACATAGTTCAAGTAGTTAAGATATCTATGTCTGATTAAATTCATGACTCAGTTAATTGGAGCGAATAGTATCAATTTTATATAATATGAATGAATAATCTGTATTTTTTTAATAGTAACACTATATATCAATGTTGACTTTATAAATTCGATATACGTAATTAATAGAAGGTTATTTGACAATAAATGGGGTGGCAAGTAAAACTTTAATTTACTAATTCAAACAATTTCTATCAATCTTCCCGATATTTTTGTTGATTTCGACATTTTCATAACTAAGTTTTTCATATTTTTACATATGATGGTAAAAAATGATCAATTATAGTATAATTAAGCCATAATTGTACTAAAAAAAATTAAGCTACAATTAAAGTTTTATTTAATAATTCAAAAAATTTACATAAATTTGTATCATTTTCGTGATTTTTTCTGAAATATCCGTCGACATCGACATGTCCATCGACATTTCCGTAAAATTGGGACCTCGACATTTCCATCGACATCGACATTTTAAACTTTGATTATACATATCTCCAATCAAAAAGTTGTGAGTTCGAACATCCACCCTCGTGTTGTACTAAAATAAATTATAATATTTTAGATTGAACGAATTATAATAGATGAAGGCACGTTTCATAACCAATTATGTTTTTTATTTTTCTTTTAAAAAAGTTAGAAAATTAGAAATATATATTAGAGAAAAAAATTCTATCTAGAGTAGATGACAATAGTGTCGGGTGGGAGTGAAGATGCACTATCTCATTCTCCTATTCGTGAAAATCTTTAGTCCACTATCTCCAACTCGTTCTTCCATTCGAGAATCGAGAACCAGGTTAACGAATCTTTATTTGGGGTCAGGATATTCACGGGAACAATTATCGATTTTGTAATTAATTTTAATTATTTTAGAATTAAAAAAAGTGTAATAAATATATATTAATTAGTTTGAGAGTTATTATTTACTATTATAATAATTAGTTTAAAAAAGATTTAATATTTTATTCACAATTTAGTAAATATTTTAATAAAAAATATATTAATTATTAAAAAATGGAATCAGAGACGGGGTTGAGACCTGTATTTCCTATTTTTGGAGCAGAGACCGGAGCAGAGACCAAATCCTATGTTAATTTTTGTCATGCCTCATCTAGATACACGAAAATACAAATTTAGACGGATGGAAATAAACTTTTTAAGGAGAAAATTTGGAGAAAAATAAACATATTTAGAAAAATGTTAAAACAAATTAGAAATAAAAAAAGAAAAGTTATAGAGAAAAAAATTTTTAGGATAAAAACAAGATTCGAAATATATTTTTAGAGAAAATAAATAAATAAAAGTTATAATGAAAGATAATTGAACGAGAAAATAAGGCATAATTTTCAGAGTAAAAATAGATTAGAAAAACAAAGAAAAATTTTAAAAGATGAAATTAGTAGTGAGAGAAAAGTTGGAGAAAATATTAAATTTTTAGAAACGAGAGTAATCTGTTGGAATAAAAAAGATAATAAAAATACATAAAGATCATGAAAATTTTGGTGAGAGAAAAATGATAATAAAAATTTAAAATCTGAAAATTTATGGAATTTCAAAATAGAAACCAAAAACAAAAATTAAATTGGTTTCAAACAATCCAGTTTTTCAAAAACTAAAAATAAAAAATAAAAAATTATCAAACAACCCTAAATAAAGATTCATTATATTATATTTTGAACGTAACTCAATAGATAGGATATTAATTATCAATTAAAGATCTAGGGGTGTAAATATTTCGGGTCTGGTCGGTTTCAGGAGAAAACCGAACCGACCCAAACTCCAATCGATTCGGTTCGGGTTCATGTCGGTTCGGGTCGGGTCATTTTAGGTTTTTTTTGTCCCTGCTCCTTTGGGTTTGCGTGTGATCTTGATTTGTGTGAGATATTTTTCTTTTCTTTATATTCATTGGATACCTCGATTTGAGAGAGAGAAAAATTAAAACAAATTTCTTTATCTTTCGTTTAGGATACCTCGATTCGAGAGATATATTAAAAGTTTTTTTTTTTAACTTTTCATTTGAGATAAGTGGGTTTGAGAGAGAGAAATTAAAACAAATTTCTTCATCTTTCTTCCTTCTTCTCCTAATGAGAGATTCTGTCGCCGTTGAGGTAGAGAGGGAGGATTTCGTTGTTGGAGTCGTCGCCGTGGGGCTCCGTCGAGCTAGAGAGAGACAGAGAGAGTTTCTGCCGCAGAGTACAGGCGCGTGCTGCCGTTGGAGTCATCGTCGCGTGCCGCTTTGGAGTCGCCACTGCATGTCGCCGTTGGAGTAGCCGCTGCATGCCGCTGTTGGAGTCGCTGCCGCGTGCCGCCATTCAGATCGTCGCCGCATGCTGGGGTTTCGTTTCATGGGCAGTGGCTGTTTGGCTTTTTTTTTTTAAAGAAGTGGCTGCTTGTCAAGAGGGAACAAGAGGAAGAGGATAAAGAAAATGGGTACGGCTTCACATTTGTCATAAATACTCGGTTATTCTAGTCAAAATCGACCCGAACCGAAAAATCTTGAAACCGACCCGAACCGACCTGAAAGCTGTTCGTTTCCGGTCAGATTTTTGGGTCGGTTCGGTTCGTTACACCGCTAGAAAGATCACTAATTCAATATCCTAGCCCTACAACTATTAAACTAAAAAAAATAAGAAAGAAGAAGAAGAATATTGTACTACAGTCTTGAATGTTTGAGTGTTTTTTCAATTGAGTTCCTATTGTCTAAATATTTTTAATTTTATTTATTATGTTTTAATATTTTTCAGTGTGTATCATTTCTGCCAGTGAAATGTTATAATTTATTGATGATTAGCTAACATGCATGATGCATAAATACTTAGTCTGCGTTGAGAGTGATATTAGAATGAATGATTTTGAAAAAAAGATATTTAAGTATAATGATTTTCCAAAATCATCATCAAGCGAGGCCCTAAAAATCAATTTATGTCTTAAAAATCAATTTAATAATATCATTATCGGCCATGAGTGTCTTCATTCTATTAAAAGCTTCAAATATGGTTTGAATGATATGGTAGTCCTAAAGTTAAACTTAAGCAAAGCTTTTGATCGTGTTGAATGGCTATATCTTGAATGCTTAATGAGGAGGATGGGGTTTGATGATAGATGAATCATGCTCATTATCCTTTGTGTTTCTACGGTCAAGTTTTCCATCCTTATAAATGACTCCCAAAGAGGCTCGTTCTCTCCTCAGGGAAATCAGACAGGGTGATCCACTCTCCTCATACTTGTTTCTTTTTTTCGTTTAGGGCTACGTTGATAAAAAATGCTAACAGTTTTGGTCACCTTACAGGTATTCAGTTTGAAGTTAATAGTCCTTGTATTTCTCATTTTCTTTTTTTAGATGACAACCTCACTTTTCTAAAATCTTCTGGGTCTGAATGCCTAAGGACTTTTGGATTCTTATGGAAGGACCTCAGGGCTCGCAGTGCATTAATTTCTCAAAATCGACACTTCTATTATCTCCTAATGTCCATCCTGAAAGGCAGCAATACCTTCAAACCATACTTAATGTCAACTTGGTGAATAATTTCGGGAATTATCTTCGAGTTGCCTTCTCACTTCACTAGGCGGAAAGGCGTGAACTGAAATTTCCTCAAAGATAAAATATGGAAAGCTATGCGAGGATGAAAACATTCCTTCTTTTCTGTTGGGGGCAAAGAAGTTCTTATTAAGAGTGTTGGCTAAACAATCCTTCTTATGTTATGAACGCTTTTCGCCTTCCCAAAGGTTTTTACACTGATATCTCTCAAATGTTCGATCGTTTTTGGTGGGGATCAACCAATGATACTCAGAAACTGTACTGGATGAAATGAGAGTGAATGTGTTTTACTAAAGAATATGGTGGTATAAATTTTAGGGGTATCGAAGGGTTTAATCAAGCTTTGGTGGTTAAACAGGTTTGACGTGTGCTTAAAAATCCAAACCTTCTAAATCTCCAAAGTTTTGAAAGCAAAATATTTTCAAGATACATATATCATCAATGCAATAAACACCAAAAACTCTTCTTTCTTTTTTTTTTTTGTTTTGTTTGGAGAGGTTTCCTATGGGTAGATATCTTCTTATTAAAGGCTTGCGGCTTCATGTTGGTAATGGATCTTCTATAAACGTTTTCTCATATCCATGGATTCCAAGGCCCCTTACCTTCAGACCTATTACTGCTATTAATGGAAATATCGATGTTCGGGTGGCTGATTTCATCACTCAACAAAGAGAATGAGACACTAATTTAGTCTCAATTTTTATTTGTGTTGAAGATAGGGATCTAATCATAACTATGCCTATAAATCATTGCAACCTACATGACTTTTGGCTATGACACTCTGAAAAACGAGGGACTTATAATGTAAAGAGTGGATACAAGCTATTTATGCATTAAGTACAGTGTGTCTACCAGCAATGTCTATTGGAGTGATCAATGGAAATCTTATGGAATCTTACTATCCCTCACAAAATTAAACATTTTCTATGGAAAGGAGCACACGACCATCTCCCTACCGCTCAAAATCTTAATACAAGGGGGCTAGATGTGTTACATGTTTGCTCACTCTATTCCACTAAATCTGCTGAGTACTACTCATGCCTTTTTTTTTTTTTTTTTTTTTAAGGAGCTAAGAAGATCTGGAAATTTCTCTTCCCCCTCAGTGCATTGCTTCCCTACCAATTCGGCACCTTTTGGCATAATCTCTTGGATCAAATTAATTCAGATGCAAAAAATTTGCCGGCAGTTACCTATTGGGCTATTTGGAACGATTGCAATTCTTTGTTACAT